ATCAGAGGCTCCTTGCTTTAAATTCTTTATATGGAAAGAAACCACATATTGATAAAATACAGCTCACATTTTCCTATACAATTTTGTGGTCATGGCTCCAACCAGAGTCTTGTTAACTCTCACGGACAGTATAACTAAATTGGACTACTGTGGTAATTAAGCCCAGCCACATGTATATGCCAGCTCTTAGTACTCTCCTGAATTAATCCTTCTTTAGAGAATAAAAAACAGAATAACACAACCAGCTGATTTTGATTTCAGAGTTGCCAGAACAGAGAAGCTACAACAAACTGTCCTTGAGCTTCTCCATCATGATCCAGTTTTTTAAGTCCTGAACTGTGAAACCACAATATTACGTAGCTATGAACACCAATCTTGCAGTCACAACACAGGCAAAAAAAGAGGTAACTTAACATCCCAACTGTTACCTGAGGGTCTCCTGCTTGTGTCCAATTAATGACAAAACTGGAATTTATTCTCACAATTACATCCCCAAGTTTGATTCTGAGTCACATTTCAGAGCGACCAACTCTCACACACCTCTATGAATGCCTCTGTCCTTTCATACCAGATGGATTTAATACAACCAAATCTAAACCTATGCATATGTGATTGTGACCTACTGCATGATATTACATTTTACGATACTTTCAGGCACATAGCTTTAGTTTTTGTTTTTTAGATGGTCCCATTGATTTGATCAGAGAAACCAGTAATGTCAGTCAGTAGATCCTGACTGTATGCGAGATCCTGAGAACACCACAGAACTACCATGAATGCTCCTCCAAAAAAGAAATCTTTGCCTGACAACATTACGAAAGGCAGCAGCACAGACGATCCAAATCTAGGTCCAATCTTGTGGAAGAAACCCCATGTAGTGAAAACTCACCACCTCTCCCTCAGAACTGGATGGCAAACAGACACATGTGAGAATTTCACACAGACACTCACATCATCACCCACCCACACAACCATCCTCCAGCGCATGCAAGCCACTGTCAAGACCGTGAGGCACACCATCTTGCTCACTCTTACCAGCATGGAAATTAAAGAAACCTGAAAAACTGTACATTTACAGATCAAGATTTGATCTCAGATGTATTTTGAATTTTTATAGTTCAACTTGTGATTATATACACTAGAATTCAAATCTTTTCAGATTATTATTATTAAGTGTG